GTGTGTGTGTGTGTGTGTGTGTGTGTGTGTGTGTGTGTGTGTGTGTGAAGGATGTGGATATGGGTGGATTTGTGGGGAACTGTGTGGGACAGGTGTGTGAATAGTATCACATGCGTGTGGAGGTCTGAGGGCCACTTTGAGAGCAGCTCTTCTCCCACGGTTTGAGACAGGGGCTCGTACTGTTTGCATCTGTGCACATGGACCTAGCTGGCCAGCCTGCCCACTTGCTCCCAACAGTTCTGTCCTCACTTAGCATCTAGTTCTCCTTTGTAGATGCTCAGTGCCACAGCACAGCTCTGGGGATCTGAACTTAGGACTATCTTAAGAAATCCTTTCCTCATAACTGGATGCCAGAGCTCTGAAGGCAGGGGCCAAGCATGGGCTGTAGCTGGTGGGGACCCTCTTGGCTTCCCACTGTGACCTCCCAAGTTAGAAAGAAAGAAAAGCAGAAGACAGAAATGTCTTCAAGAAGACTCCTTTAAACCCAATTACCTCTTTGCCCATCTCTCGGTATCACCCCTTTAAGGTCAGCTCTTCGGCATCTGAGGTTTGGGCAGGGGGTTACAGCTCAGCCCTTAGTAAAGTTTTAAGCAAAGAAATATGAAAACGAAGGTTTCTTTTCAAGAGTTAACTACTCTGGATGAAGTATTCTGAAGGCCCAAAGGAAGTCAAAGACATATTCACAGCCAGGGCTGACAGCACCGGCCTGGAATCCCCGCCACCTTGGAGGTGGAGGGCGGAGAAGCAGAAGCTGAGGGCTGCTTGCCCACAGCCTGGGCAGCTCAGTAAAATCATTTCTCAAAAACTGTAAAAAAAAGGACTGGGCCACATGTAGCTCCGTGATGGAGAATTCACGCAGTTATGTGCAAGGCCCTAAGTATGGAGGGCATCATAGGTTCAGAAAGAGACATTGTGGGAGGGAGGGAGAGAGGAAGAGGAGGAAGAGGACTACATGGAGGAAAAGAGGAGACGAAGGGAGGAAAAGAAACAGACAAAACAGCACTCTGGAGAACAGTGATTGTTCGGAGCGTTAAGGCAGAGGATGTCCAGCAGTAAACAAGCGGATACCGGCAGAGAAGGAAGTACAATGTTCTAAATAGTCAGGTGTTCAAGGCAACAGACTGTGACAATGGATTTCACGTTGTGGTTGGGGAAGAAAGGCAAGGAAGAGTGCCAGGCTTTTGACTTGTACAAATGAGTACGCCACTTCTTGTGATACAAACAATTAGCATGTTTGTGTGTGGCCTCTTGTTCACCACAGAAATTACCGTAAGGATAGCCACTGTGCAGTGACCCTCTGTCACACCAGCCCTCGTGCACATGTCCACGCACATTCTCTTAGTTAATGCAGGACACAAGCCTAGCCTTCTAAAATGGCAAGATCAGCTCAGGCAAGCGAGCTGCACAAGGCTGCATTGTTAGGGCTTAAAATAGTCTGCTACAATGCACAGTACAGAAGGCCTTTTGAACATCAGAGAAGCCAGTGTGGACAGCATAACCGAAGGAATGACAGGGGAACGGAGGTCTACATTCCAGGTAAGGAAGAAATAAACATGGGGTAGAGAAAAGAAAGCTTCATTTAAGTAGAGGCAAAGTTGACTGTAAAGGCAGGGGCCATGTTTTGCAGGATCTTGAAAGTCTATAATTTGGATTTTATGGAGGGACAGGTTTGAGTGTAAAAGGAACATGACTTTACATGACTTCGGAAAAACCTGTTTGGCAACAGGGAAGACCAGAGCTGGAGTGCCTGGAATCCCAGAGGCCATCAATTAGCTTTTGTATCATTCAGGGAATAGGCCATAGCTCTGGCCTAGCCTGCAAGAAAAATCTATGAGACTTAATTTCTTTGGGTGAGAATGGAGCTTGACAGGAGCTAAAATCTAAGGAATAAGATTAGGAAAGTGGGGATTTCGTGTCAAAAGCAGGAGAGGGGGAAGAAGATAATTTAAGTCTGAGATAACACAGGCATGAGTGGCATAAGTGTACTGATATTTTAAAAAGATTTCCACCTGTTTGAATGAAACTAATCTAATTTTTCAGAAAAGAACCAGACTCAACCAAAAGCCTACAAGTGATGATATTGAGTAGAAATAAAAGTAAGTATTAAAATCAAGAGGAATAAAACAAGACATTCTACTGTAGAAAATTAGACCACAAATAACAAAAATGCTGTGTTTTAAGGATGCAATTGCAAAATTAAAAAAGAAAGAAAGAAAGAAAGGAAGGAAGGAAGAAAGGAAGAAAGGAAACCATTCCAGTCCACCGAGCTGCTCACTCCAAATGCATTAAACAGTTGCTTGTAAAATAAAATACAGAGTTAGGCTCAACCTTTCAGATGAATAGGGTCTTTGTTCTTGCCTGGAGTTACTCTCGGGACCATGACACTTAATTTTTAAGATCCAAAATGTTGTGTTTTGTGGAAGGAAAATGTGTGCTCATTGTGTTTTCTAAATGCCATATGTTTTTGTTTTTGTTTTCAAAGCATGCAGAAATGCTGTTGACTGGGGGGGGGGGGTAACCCTTTCCGTCCCTCTGCTTGCTTTTGCTTGGGGCAATCCTGGCATCTCTGGGTCAGCTTTTGTAGAGTGAGGCTGCAGGAAGCCCCTTGGATCAGCTCCGCGTGTGCTGAGCAGGACCCCCTCCCCCTCCCGCAGCGTTATGGCGTCATGAGGGTTTATCAAATGGCATCTGAGAAGGTGAGGACACCCTTGGTCCCCCGGGGGTGCCAGCCAGGGCTCCGAGCCGAAGGTGCAGACTCCGGTTTTGCCGTTCGGCGCTGCCTAGCGAAAGTCGCCAGTGCTCTGGGAACTTGGGCGGGAGACAGCGGCGTTCCCGTTCCGAGCGCCGCAGTGACAGCTGCTCCCCGCGGGCTGTGTGGGGTCAGGCCCGCCGTGGCGGGGCGGGCGTGCTCGGCCGCGGGAACGGCGAAGGGTGCGCGTCGTGACGAGCCCCGAATTAGCCTCCTTTCCACACGTCCGTCCCCGTCCGCGTGCTCCGTCAGCCGGCGTCAGGACGTCGGCCTGGCCCGCCGCGGGCTCCCCCGTCCCCGGCGCTCGCGCGCGGCTCCGGGGCGGCGCGCCGGCCGGGGGCCGCTGGGTGCCGGCGCCGCTGGGTGCCGGCCCGGCGAGGGAGATCCCGTTGCCCTCAGTATGGACGCGCTGTTTTCGGAGCCTGCCAGCGCCGTGTTGCTGTGTCGGCCCTCCAATGAGCGCCCGGCTCGGGCGAGGGCGCTGACGAGCTGGCCCGCGATTGGCCGGCCGCGCCGGGCGGGGCCGGGGGCGGGGCCGGGGGCGGGGCCTGTGGGCAGGCAGGGCTGCAGCTCGCAGCCACAGAGTTTGGGCTGTCTTTGCTTCATCATCCGAGGGGAGATTTTCCAGCCGCGGCCGGCGGCTCGCAGAGTACAATAAGCGGGGACGGAGAGCCGTTGGCATGGGCCCCCCCTCCTCATGATGCGGTGGAGAGGCCGCGGCCACCCGCTCCTGCCAGCTGTCCTCGGGGTTACTGTACATGGGGAGGACGAGCAGCGCTAAACAAGGTAGGAGGACACCCCCCACCCCGGTTTTTTCCCCCCGATGTTTGAAGAGTTTGCTGCAGTGTGCTGCATTCCGTGTGTGTGCCTAGGGAAGCCAGGGAGACCGGATTCCACCAATTCGGACGGAATACTCGCAGGAAACCCTGGAGTTTTACGTAACGTTTGGATTCGAGAGCGAGAAATGGCAAAGCGAGAATCTACGCCGCCCCGGTTGGGGTGAGGCATAAACCCGAGGCTATTTATTTATTTATTTAAAGAACGGATTCCTTTTTTTATTTTTTAATCATCTGAAAGATCCAGGCTGTTATTCCCTTAAGATAGACAAGGTTTTTACTTCTGTGTTGAGCTACAGGATAAAGTTTACGTGGATCCTATTCTTTAAAAACACACTCGAAATTAAGAATTAAAAAAAAAAATCATGGTAAATAATGATCGGTTGAACGTTTGGGGCCGAAATACGTGTGTTTCGTGGAACTCGGGGGCCACCCGGGTGCTCCAGGGCAAGGGCTTTAATTGAGTTTCAAAAGCACATTTTGAGCACTAAGGCAGAGGTAGTCTTAGACACTGTAGTTCAATGTTTACATTGCTTTTCCTGGCAGTCTCGTCTTTGTTTCCAGCTTAAAAGTGGGACCATTATATTCAAAAGTAAAGCTGGGTTAATAATGCTTACTGCAATTATCTGATCTGTATGCATTTTTAATGAGAACACACAGCCAGCAGAATAATTTAATGAGAGCTGGCTAGCTTTTAAAGCTGGGCTCTCACTCTGCCCAGCCAGATCAACTTTCTTGCCGAGAAGCAGCGGCTAGAAAGGTTGAAGCAGATTTATTTTTAACACACTTGGCCCAGGAGAAGGAAAGGATCTGTGTTAAAGAATTCTTTCTGCCCTTTTCCGTTTTAAATTTCTGCCAGGCATGAGGAAACCGTGCTTTTTGTTAGGCCTTGGAAGCATGTGTTTACAATAAATGTGTAACATTTTTAGAATAGTTAGCAAGCACTGAAGCGAAGGAAAAAAAAAAAAAAACTTGCCTAACCACCACCCCCATGACTGTTCCAGCGCTCTTCAAAAAGCATTACTGTCTCTTTAAAAGACAAAGATTAAGTAGGAAAATATCTATTAGGGCATCTGTGTATTTAGGCAACAATGAGGAACAAAAATTAAACAGGAGACATTTTTACCATCTGCGTAAGAGGAACTTTCCTCTCTTGCTCCGCTCTGAGGGACAGCAGTGTTCATTTAAATGGGGGCAGTGCCGCGTAGAATCTTCTAGACCACTGTTTTTACTTTCAAGGAGAAGTGCAGGACAGCAGCCCAGAACTTCTGACGTCATCCCCCAACTATTTCTGCTGTGTGTTCTTGTATTCAGCTGTGGTGAGGAATATTTCCCTGTCCAGGCCAGGAACACTGGAACTCCCGGTTGGCAGGACTTGAATTATGTCTTCCCATTTAAACCCAAGCCCATCCATCCCCCTTCCCAGGCCAGAGGGCAACTTCTCCTACCTGCCTGTCCACACAGGTTTTCTGCGGGCTTTTCTGGCTTGGCCAGTGAAAAGCCATGGGGAGCCTCAGGGGGCTGAAATTCGCTTTCTCTCTGGCCTAACTCACACAGGGTGCAGCTCGGTATGGCTCACCATCCCAGGGAACCCCATTCTCGGGTCCCCTGGAACCATTAGCTAAGGGCCAGGTTATGGCACCAAGTTCAAGGTTGATTGGATGGTGGGTGACAGCTGTTTTCATAGATAAACACGATGTCCTAGGGCAGATGGCTCAAAGGAAATAAAATACAATGGTGCCTGCTGTCAACCCTGTGTCACAGGTGGCACCCTTGTGACATCCTTGAGGTAGAGATCAGGGGAAAGGTTAGTGTTTATTGAGATGTCTTTTAAAGAGAGAATCTGGGTTAGAGTCCCCACGACCAGCTGGCCTCCTTCTTCCCACCACTTACTTAAGGTCCTTGAGCAAGTACCTACCTCAGTTTCTCCCTCTTGGCAGAACACATAATGCTTGTTTCACTTTCTCCTACTCCAGAACTCTAGGGACTGATCTTGTAAAAACAGCAGCAACAAAAGTTGTTTGTCTCTTGGTACAATGTGTTCTGTAAAGTACAAGGGAAGAGAGCTCTGTGTGGAAACATTATTGCCAATGTCTTGAGGTGTTAAGATATGAGGCCATAAAAACAAACCCCTCCAGTCTCTGTCAATTTCATATAATTTTTCTAAAGATGTGTATGCCTAAGCCAACAAATGAGATTTCCGAGGAAATCAGAGCATGTTGTTTGCATTGCCTTGGTCAATCTAGTCTGATGTTCTAGAGGCTGGGCCAGCCAGCCTCTTCCAGCAGAGGCTTCGCAGAGCTGTGGTGCCCCGTGCCCCGTGCCCCGTGCCCCGTGCTGTTTTCTCTTTGACTTTTGGATGAAATTGTGAAAGTGGAGTGAATACGAGACAAAACTGGGTAGAAGGCAGGAAAAAAGCTTGTGAAATTTCCTGGCCATGGAGCCTTACCACTTAGCCTGCGTCGCTTGCTCGTTGTTTTAATTTGCTGTTGCCATGGTGAAAACAAATCAATATCACATGGCTCCCAGCCAGTCCTGAGCCCAGGGAGCGCCATAGAAATCCAACAGCAGGTCCTCGGGATTTCAAGCAGGAATTGGGAGAAGAGGGCTTAGCCACTGAGCTCAAGCCTGGAGAAGGAGCTAGGTCTTCTGACACACGCTCTCTCTTTCTTTCTTCTCACGTTCTCTTACCAGCAAGAAAAATGTGGGAATAAAGGCAGCTGGCTTGGCTACACTTTCCAAAATAACAGAGCAGCAGCGGTGCAGAAGTAGGCAGGGGGACATTGCGGAGGGTGAAAGGTCTTGGTTAACGAAGGGACGGCACAGAAAGGCAGTAGCTGTGGAAAACAGAGTTTGGGTCCTTCAGCGCCTCCACAGAGAGCCAGCCCTGAGAGGAATCGAGTGTTAACAGCTATGTGGGCTGGTCAGATGAGAGAAAGCACAGAAGCAGGTGAGGGGTCTCAGAGAGAGGAAGATCTGCAGGTCAAAGGTCAATCAGGAGAGCATGGGAGAACCCCAAGGTCAGGATCCCACAGAGAACAGGACATTTCTTGCTTTCCACAAAAGCTGCAGAGACCCAGTCTGAAACCCTGTGAGGAAAGAAGGGAAGAGACTGTGGAAAAAAATACATACATACATACATACAAACATACATACAAACATACATACATACATACATAAAGGGTCAGGTAGACATATGTGCAGGCTGTGTGGGGCTGTGTGGTGTTTCCCGCTTTGCAGGATGAAGTAGATCTTATCTGGGTTTTCATGAATCAGTTACGGCGCTGCCCCCCTGCCCCCCCCCCCCCCCCCCCCGCAGTTTTGTTTTCCTTCTGGAAAATGTGTGCAAAGTGTCCCTTGCAGCAAGGTAATAGACCCAGTGAGGAGGCAAAGGTGATACCTGGCAGTGTTTGCTTCGGGCCTGGGCCTCCATGGGCCGGGCTGTCACCTCCACTCCTCCACAGCCCTGAGAGCAAACAGGTGTGTTCACTATGCCCCGGCTTTCTTTGCTGAGCCTGAGCCAGTGTGGTAAGCAGTTTTAAGCTGGTCTTCTCTGACTCCCCCTCAGCATGACAAAACATTTTGGACCCAACAATGTTCTTTAGTGTTTTGTTTTCTTTTACAAAGAACACATTGTTTAAGGTCTCTTGGGTCAGCTATTCCATCAATTAGTCAACAAGTGTTTCTTAAACACCCTTTGCTCAGGCTCTTGCACTTGGTTGTGACACCAAGCTACCCAGTACCTTGTGTATACCCTGCCCTCGTGTGTACATACAAACACACCTGTCATAAAATCCTAAATTTCAAAGGCTTTAGAACATTGTTATTAGCTAATGTGAAGCTAGCATTGTTAACCATCAGACACTGATTTTAATCCAGACTGGACTCTGGTCTTTAGGGGCAGAACAAAACAGAGATTGTTTTAAAAAGATGTTTCGATTGTAGGTATATCTCTAGACTGTCTTCACCTGAGCTGTATTTCTTACCATTGGTGTTGTATAATTAACATAAAGAGAGGCGGGCCAGGCAGAGTCTGAGTGCCTGAAACACCCAGAAGAGAAGGCTTCTGGGAGCGCGCACTCAGAGTCTCAGCAACCAGGGCTTCAGCCTCAAGTGGCTAGGAACTGTGGGCACATCATTTATAAAGCCTGAAATGCCAGCCAGAGAACAAAAGGAAATCTTAGACCTTCTCTCACCTCTGAGCGGCTGCCTTCCCCGACAGCCCATGATGCAATCATGAGGAAACTCGATGCTGCCTCCGGAGGCTTACCCTTCCCCACATTCTTTCATAAATGCAGGAGGTTTGTTTTGTTTTAGTTGATTTTCCCCCTCTAAACTTTAAGCTGTTTTGATGGTAGTGGTTTGGGGGATTTTTGCCCCTGAACATCTTTTCTCTGGACAAAGACAAACTATGTGAGACTAAAGGGACAGAGCTCGGAGAGGAGGAAAATGCAGCCTCTCTTTTTTAGGCTTTTTTAAAAAATCTGCCCTGGGTCTCCATTGACAGAGGAGCTGGGCCAAGATTAGGAGCATCCGTGGCAAGCTGGCTGTTGAAGCTGTGGGTGTAAGTCATCTTTGTGAAAACAGGAGCATCCGAGATGTCCTGACACACTGCAGGTCTCCTTCTGGAGCTGGGCAGTGCACAGAAGCTAGGACAGCAGATCTTTACACACAGGATCAGAGCAAGCACAACTTTTCCAGAAGAGTGCTTAACAGAGGCGGGCTCCTCGCCCTGCACAAGGCTGCCACTGTCTTGTTAACATCTCAGATGGGGAGGTACGAAGCCAGACCCTCGATTAAGGAACTCTGGCTGAAAGTCCAGGAGAGGGGCTATTAGTAAAACATGGACTCATTAGGAGACTAGGGACTTATCATAGCTGTGGAGTGCTTGCCTGACACATGTGACGCTGTGGGCCGCTCCCTGCCTCTTGTCACATAAGACCAGGCATG